ACTTTTTCATTATACGAACTTTCATCTTTGCAGAAGTTAAAAAAAAAAACCTAAAATAAATTATATTGTATTTATCAACATATTGAAGTTAATAGTAAAGTCTTAGTTGATTATTTTGATTAAGAAAGTTTAAGACTTTAAGTTCTCTATCTTAAAACAAAGAAAAAGTCATGAGATAAAATTTCAACAAAAAAAAAAAACGCTGAAAAAAAAAGCATAACAACAAATTATTCAAAGCTTAGTAATCCATATCGAATTAAGCTGTTACCGTCAAGATTATGCCTAAAATCGAGATAAATTATCATAACAAATTACAAAATAATTGCGTTTAAAACTTTATATAAAAGAGGCATTAATAATTACGCCGTTGGATGGATCTTGTTTAAAAGCAGGAGAAAAAAGAAGAAAAAAAAAGCGAAAGGTGTGTTATCAATCAAATTTAACTTCTCCCTTCTTCGTCGGTTCTTTCGCCTACATTCTTACCAACTTTCCACATTTTAAACTTCTTACGCTATTTTTTTTTTCTTAGCATGGTTTTTCAATAGCTTTTACACATTTATAATATATATATATATATATATATATATATATATATATATATATATATATATATATATATATATATATATATATATATATATATATATACGAGTACCGATCGACTGTCGATCAAATATTTTCTGTACGGTAAATATTGGAGAAAAGATTAGAGTACAACGGTGTTGTTCACCAGCTGTATATTGATATCAAAAAGGCTTAAGAATCTATTGACCGCCAGAAACTGTATAATATTCTAATCGAGCAGGAGAAAAAAAAAATAGTGAACCAAGTCAGGATGTGCTTGATTGAAACACTCAATAACGTTAGAATCGGTAATAATTTATCCAAAATGTTTGAGGTTCGTTCGGGTTTAAAACAAGGTGATTCCCTTTCACCTTTCCTGTTCAATTTTTGCATTAGAACATGCCATTAGGGAGGGAATGATTACGGAAAAAGGGTTGGATCTGGGCTGGACAACACCCGTGTTGGGCCATGCGGATGATCTGATCCTGTTTATCGAAAATCCGAGAACTATAAAACTAAATAAGACAACGTTAATGAAAGCCGTTAAAGAACTAGGACTCGGAATAAACACGCATAAGGCAAAATATATGGTTAGCTGAAAAAATAGCGATATAGTCCACAATCCTGATGAGAAAAATGTACTTCAGCCAGTATGTAGCCGCTGTAATACAACATGACGGCCATTTCAAGATAGATAAAGAGAGACCCTACACGAAAGCATATATATAGAAAGGGTTTACAGATATATAAATCTACCAGTCCTTTCAATTTATAGTATTTACCGTCTTAAGACATAAAATAATATTCAGTTAGCCCACACTAGTCGAATCCAAATCGAAAAATTGAATTTATGTTTCAAAAAGTTTACTTTTTTCTGTTTTTCACTTATACTTATACTCAGTTAAATATGAATTCTATTTATAATAATGTCACATGTGAAATTTATGTAGTTATTATATAGTTGTACTATATAGTATAGTATAATATTAATTGATAGCATGAAGAAGATGGATTGGCGGATTCGCTTGGTTATATTCCTTCAAATCAGAGGAAACGCATTTAATTTATGTTTACATTTTCATTTACACTTTTTATACATACTAAAAGGGATTGTTTATTAAAGAAATAATGTATTTTGATATCGGTCGACTGGCTGTGAACAGTGAACTCTTTCTTCAAAATTCTAAAATGAATAAAGAACTTTACCCGAATCAAACGGTCTAGTAAAGATTATAAAGATAATCGCGAATGATAAGACATGAAAATTATAATATTTTCAAATTTTTGAAAAGCGATAAAGGACACCTATTAAGTTTACTTAAGCTATCCTCGTCTCAAATTGTAGTAAATTTAATCAAACTTAAAAATGTAACACTGTTATTACCGCATATGCCGATGATACATGTGTTCTATCCGTTAATAATGACCCAACCATTGCATCCCAAACTCTTCAATCACACGTCACAAACCTTGAAGAGTGGTGTCAAAACTTGAGGGTTAAAATAAATTCTAATAAATCCCATCAAATCACGTTTACCCTTCGCCGTAAACCCGTCGCACCTGTCCAACAGTACCCTTTAATAATATCCCACTTATACCTGTTGAACAAATCCGATACCTTGGACTCCACTTGGACAAACGTCTAACTTGGAATCTTCATACCATCCTGAATCGACAAGAAACTGCTCGACGTTTCCATCTACTCCAACACTTAATAGACAAACATTCTAAGCTTCCAATTAATGACAAAGGACTACAATAAGACAATTTGGATTTACGGAGTGAGCTATGGGGCTCCAGTAAGCCACCGAATTCCTGTCTTATCCAATCCTTACAATCAAAAATCCTCATAACCTTAATGCTGCTTACTTTTTCACAAATAAAATCATCCATAACGACCTTAATGTTCCTGACCTGGCCCAGATACCCTGACAACCCTCCGAGGCGTCTGAAAAGAAGATGGCCTCTAGATCTCCTGTTGTAAATACATTTTTAGAGTGCTACTAGTGGGTAGTTTCTCAAAAAGTGATTTAATATTCTTGTATTCTTGTGTTCTCATTTACTGAAAGTATTTTTATTACTAATACAGTTATAAATATCATTAAAAAGCAATTAAACATGTATAGAGTGTATTTTTTTTAAAACGTGCATATCATAAATAAATAGAGTAATATCAAAAGTATTTATTTAATATGTATAAGAAAAACAATAAATGCCAATGTAGTATGAAATGTGATATAATATATTTTTTCATATTAAAAATAATAATAATAAACATGTATCATGATACTTATCTTGGTTACAGGGCGTATAAACAGCTTCTGATTAATTTGTGAAAAGAAATTGGAATGGAAGGTTTTTAAGTGTATGTAAGGTGAGGAGATGTCGGATTTTAAGAGAGGGAGAGAGGGTATTACAGAAGCTGGAAAATTAGATTAATAACGAGTTTTGAAATGAAGCAGATCTGTGATTGGGTGTATAAAAGTCAGAAGGTCGAGATTTTATTTTTGTAAAATGGACAAAGAACTTAAATAAAAAGAGTTTGAAGGATAACCCATCCTCCGTAGAAGTAAACAATCTTCATCCTAATTTAGTTTAATCAATTTTTTTCTAGTAGTTGTATATTTAAACAAATTTTGAACCAACCAAGTCCAAATAATAAAAAAAAAAAGATAAACTTGAAATGAAAATCTTCATCAAAACTAGTATTTTAAAAATTTGGTGTTAATAAAAATACTCTAGTTGTCTAAAGAGTACAAGTTCATTTTAATGTATATTATATTTAGTCAATTTCTATCGTATATGACATATTAAGAAAAAAATGTATTTTTAATGAAGAATAAATAGGCCTATGAAGAATAAATAAGAAACTGTATGGTATGGTTCCTTTAAATTCAAGACCTTTAATATTTTCATGGCTCATAATTTTTTTATTATTCAATTAAATGGTGTAATCAATCAAACGACATACTGGTTTATTTAAAATGATTTTTTTTATAAGATTTTATATCCTTTATATATATATATATATATATATATATATATATATATATATATATATATATATATATATATATATATATATATATATTTCGCAATTTTTTAACTATTAACGTATATTTCAATAATAGTTATTAATACAAAATTAATACTAATTATAACTAATTTTAATACAAATGAAGACAAACACTTTTTACTTATACACTAGTAATTATATTCAAATATTAGTGACTTTAAAGTGGGCCGTTGTAGATTTTTGGGAATCTCATTTACATTATATGTTACAGAAAAAATTGTGTAGTCATTTTTTCAATTAAATTCATAAAATGTTTTTGTAATTGATGTAATTTCTGAAAATTTACCAATATTTAAAAATATAAATTTGTAAATAAATTACTTAATGAACCTAGTTATCAGGATTTCTTTCGTTTTTTTTTATTAAAAAATCTCCTGAATGCAATTTTTTCATTACAACAAAAAAAATCGTGTAAATAACATTATAATTAGGTAGTGAAATATATAATTTTGCGCCATATGAGTTGAAGCATTTAACTTTTGAACAGATTCATTTAAATTTAACATTAAAACATTCGGAAATTGTATGAAAAGATACAACGATATACTTCAAATCCCAAAGAATATGTGGCTCTTTTCTACTTTAAACAAACGAATACATTTTTTTTGATTTAATGATTTTACAGTTATGAATAATTGCTTAAACATGTAAGGGAGTTCATAATTGATAGTATCTGTCTTATTAAACGTTTGAAACGAACAGTTTATTTAAAGGTTATTTAAAAAGGAGAAATGAACTCGTTCGAACAAAGTGTCGTTTAGCTAGTGACAAGAAGGTAATAATGATTCTACAGAGATATGGATTGTTTATGTTAGAAATCGCAATAAATGGGCAAAGTCGGAATTAATGATTACTTGAAACATTTATTTATCACGAAAAGTAAAACATAATTACCACAATTTTATAGTTGATTCAATATCACTATAAATATAGCCGAAATGTGGTACGATTGCCTGATTACCTTTAATAAAATCTGATTTAGATTGTAATCGTGAATGTAACTTAATAGTAACCGTTGATTATGATTATGCATACCTATGAAGTTAAATCAATCATATTAAAAAAATTCATATTTAGAACATTAAATTTAATTTTTTTAGGTTACATTTACTTTCTTGTTGCATGTTTAAGCAACGTTTTTTTTTTTTCCTTTGTGATTTCATGGTTATGAATAACTGTTTAAACGTGTTAAGGGATTCATAATTGATACAACAAACATATTTTTTATTTTAGTAGAAAAGAGCAAAATATGTTGGTGCCCATATTAAAGTCATTAGAGAAACTTTGAATTTTTGACAATGTCCCGAATTTCGCCTTCCTAGTCCCACTCTACAATTACTGGATGCAGACAATGCACTGATCAATACAGAGCACCTTTCGATCGTAAGTAATCTACTACGTCATTCTTACTTTCTTCATCTGAGCTAATCACAGTCCAACCTAAGGCAGTCTTTCCATTACTATCCCTATCATTAACAGAAGCTCCTCGGTCAACCAAAAGCTTTGCTACATCCAATCGGCCATTAGCAGAAGCAAACATAAGAGGTGTTACACCATGTACGGTCTTGACTTTAAGGTCTGCTCCTTGATCCAACAGCATTGCAACTACAGGAGCGTGTCCTCCATTTGCTGCATGGGATAACGCAGTCCAGCCGTAATTATCCTTGTCATCAAGAGACGCTCCTCGATCTATGAGAAGCTTCACGATGCCCAATCGACCATTAGCGCATGCTTTCATCAGTAGTGTCCTGCCAAGTCGACTCTTGACTCGTTGGTCTGCCCCTCGATTCAAAAGCATCGTCACCACAGAAATGTAGCCATTCGCTACAGCATGATATGCTGCAGTAGATCCGTAATTATCAATATCATTCAGGGATGCTCCCCGGTCAATAAGCATCTCCACCACGTCCAAATAGCCACCGGACGATGCTGCTATCAGAGGCGTTGATCCACTGACTGTCTTAGTTTTTAGATCTGCCCCTCGATCTATCAGGAATGCTACCACAACCGCATGTCCTCCAGTTGCTGCACAATAGAGGGCAGTCTCTCTTCGATTATTTATATCATTAAGAGGTGCTCCTCGATCTATCAGAACCTTCGCCACATTCAAATGGCCATATGAAGATGCAAGCATTAATGGTGTCCAACCTCCTAATACCGTAGCTTTCGGGTCTGCCGAGTGATCCAACAGTATCGCCACCACAGAACTGTGCCCTCCCAATGCTGCATAATGTAGAGCGGTCAATTTATTCTGATTATAATGATCTTCCACATCCAACGTGAGGTTAGCGTCGATGAGCATGGATACGACTCGGACATGACCTCTGTAGGCCGCCACGTGCATTATCCAGGGGCCATTGTAGTTCTTCAGAGTGAGGTTGGCCTCTCGCTCTATCAGCTCTCGCAGTACAGTCACCTTGTTATCTACAGCAGCGATAAAAGCTGGTGTGTATCCGTTATAATCTTTATCGTCTAAATTGGCTCCGGCGTCGGACAAAATCGTTACACACTTGACACAGCCTCCTTTAGCGGCGTAGTGAAGCGCCGTCCTACCGGATCTGTCTTTGGTTGTTGGATCGCTTCCGTTCAGCAACAACGACGCCATCACATCCGGTTCAGAATTTTTAGCAGCAGTCATCAAAACAGTTTGACCTTCACCACTCCAATTGTCTTCTACTAAAATACCTTGAGTCAGATCCTGTATCATCTCCTGGAAAAAAAAAAATCTTGACAGAAAATGTATATATATATATATATATATATATATATATATATATATATATATATATATTAAAAACTATATAATTTATTTATTAGTTATACATATTCCTGACTCACAATAAATTTGCCATCTACCTCGGTATTCAGCAAATATGATATCAAGGATAAGAAATGATAGCATAAAAAAAAAGAATATTAATAAAAAAACAAAAAGACAAAAAAAAAAATAGTTAAATAACACATAAATAATAATATAAAAACACATACAAAAAAAAATAGTACAGCAAGTAGCTCAATGCAATAAGTCTCTTGGCCAGCGCCTCAGCAGTCTTCTGGGCGGATTATATGGATTTGTGGCAGTAGATAGAACTTGAGTAAGTGGATTGGAATTTAGAGTCAGTCTGTCATGAAAATTATTAAAGCGGTCAGTGGCAGTTGCTGTGATGAAAGGAGTGTTAAGGTCAGTGTGTAACGTGAGGTTTTAAACATAAAAGGGTGCTACAATTTCCCGAAGGACTCTTGACTGGAATCACTAGTGGATCCTGGATTTAATTTTTTTGAGGGGGAGGCTTCAGCCTGGAAGCTTTTTTTTTCATATATATATAACGGTAATTACTTTAGAAAAACAGAAAGATACTAACTACCTATATGAAATAGTGTTTAAGTGATTCTTGAAGTCCTATTAAATGTAATTAAACGAGCATTAATAGTTTAAGACATAATTTTTTAATATTATTTCCCTTAAAACATGGTTACATTGTACCATTTGGGGAGGAGAGGGCTTCAGCCCGAAAGCCCCTCCCCTTAATCCGCCTGTGACTGGAATGACTGGATGATTTTCATATTTGATTTCTTTGCTGTTTCCCATAGTTCGATCCCATATGTCCATAGTGGTTTAATGAGGACTTTGTAAATAGTTAATTTATTAGTCACAGATAATTTAGAACGTCTGTCAAGTAGCCTAGAAAGAAGTCCGTATCGCTGATTAAGTTCTTTTCTTTTTTGTTTTATGTGGTATGTCCATGTAAGTCGTTTGTCCAAGTGGAGACCCAAATATCGTACAGTTTTTGAAGGTGTTAGAGCAATATTATTAGAGAACACTGGAGGAAAAGAGTTATGTTTAAGTGTAAATGAAACAAATTGACTCTTAGACTCGTTCATTTTTATTCTCCACCTTTTAGCCCAACAAGCTATGTGGTCTAGGTGTTCTTGAAGTACCTGAGAAGCCTTTGCTGCATCCTTGTTAGACATTACTATTGCCGTGTCATCAGCAAATATAGCCAACATTGTTTCAGAATGTTGTACATAAAAAAATATAGCTCAGTAAATTTTGGATTTTTCGTCAAAGTAATTCCAAACTATTTGTTACTGTGGTTACTGTGGTGGTTAAAACAAATCATGTTAAGTCCCTTTATTTTCTTTGCTCGCTTGTATCCCAAGTGATAGGCCAAAAATCCGTCAATAATAATTATTCTATCGAGGCTCATCTGATAAAATACTATAAATGAGCGGTAAATTGATCAATTTGATGTAAAAAAGCTAATTTTTACTAATTTTAATTCTGACACCTGTCATAACATCAGAGCTATTGACAAATCAAAAATAGAGTTTCCCATGGTTTTATACCCCTAGGCAAGTTCAGAAAAAAAAAAAACAAGTTTTTATTATTGATTTACGTAAAATAGAATCAAAGTTGTGTATTCTTTAATAATATTTCCCCTTAAAACTGCAAGAAACAAATAGTTTTTTTTATAGTTCTATGTTCATGAGGTTAAATACAAAATAATCTACCAAGAAGGGGATGGCATGGAACAAGTTCCCTAAAAAAATGTTTGAGAGTATATTTTTACTGGATAATGGGTTTTTGTAAGGTTTCAAACTGCGAGGTCTTTGATATCATGAAGACACAGAACTGACCACATCTATTATAATTGGATGTTATAACGTTAAGTAGAAATTTTAAAGTACTGCTATGTATTGAACGTGGAAAATGAATTTTTAAAATTAATATGGGCTGCGGAAGAGTTGAATGAAACCGACTTCTGACATCAAAAACAGCCTCCAGGGTAGAGAGCAGGTAAATTAAGGACAAAGGGCTCTAGGGTAGGCCTCTCCTCAGAGTAAAACGGTCTAGGTAACTTGGTTCCTTTTAGGGTGTTACCAGTTATTGTGGAGTAATAGGGTGAAGTTAAGAACCAATGAAAACTATCCTTGCCCCATCCTGAATATTTGTATATAATATTCCGAGAAGTAGGAAAAGAGATTTTATGTTGATACCCGTCCTTGAGGATAGGTCTTATGTTGATGTCCGGCCTTGAGGATAGGTCTTCTTATGCTTTCTTCCGGCTTAGGGACTGAAGCCTTGACCCGACATAGACCATGACAGCTGCCCGTCTTGGAGAAGTTTTTGGACTTGGGCTTGATGAGATGACCACGAATCAGCAGATGCAGCAATGAAACATGCCATAACTATACCACTTCACATACCATAATAACTACGTTGTAATTCCCATTCCTAATGTTATAATATTTCATGGCAATAGTACTCAAAACGGTCCATCTGAAAGCATATCTTTACAGTTAATGATTAAATTCTTTGAATCTTCTTATTTAGTTGTAAATAGTATTTGTACATAAAGATTTCCATTTAATTTATATATATTCTTTATTAAACATAGAAAAAATTTAAGTTTTTTAGTAAGAGTTATTTAATTCTGTCATCATGATGATCACAGGTAATATTGGTAATTAGAAAGATTGATAAACGCAAACCAGCCTTTGAGCAAAGAAATCCAATTAATTAATCCTGGACCGATCAATATATTATATATCCACAGTTTTTGAATATTTGTTTTTATTATCGATTTATATTAAATAATTCTGGATAATTATCATCAATAAATGTCCAGTGGCATCCAGTGGCAAATAAAATTAAACACCCCAAAATGTAGCAATTTTTAATTCATTACTTTTGTGGGGATAAAATATAGCAGTACAATTTTTATAATTCTATCTTCACTTGTACCGTAACGTAAGTAGAGCTGTGCGCTTAAATGTTTTGGAAGGAGGGAACGTGCCATCGCACTTGAGGGTTAGGGACAGGTACTAGTAGTAGCGAGAGTAACAACATAACCCAAGACAAAATTGATAATATATTATTAAAATAAAATTCTGTTACGGTAACTAAAAATCAGGACGAAAGCAAAAAATAATATTCACAAACTCAAAAATGTATATTAAATTTAAATACCTTATTATATAGGGTGTCCCATAAGTAGAGGATAATAGTTAGCAAGGAGTAAAAAATTGATCCTGGATATTAATATCTACAAAAAAATGTATATAAACAATTGCCTAATTTCCATTAGAAAAGTAGGAAATTAAATATTTATGAATATTTAAGTGAGTCACATTGTTTTGTTGAATAGGAAGCGATAACTAAAAAAACATTTGATTCAAGCAATGAAACACTGTATTATAGTAAACAAGACAAAATTTAAATTAAGCAAAAGTATAGTTTATCATTGTTAAAAGCAACTAAAGAGGAATATTGAGCGCACTAGTGGATCCAGGATTTTGGGGTGGGGGACTTCAGCCAGAAAGATTTTTTATCATATATATATATATATATAAAGATAATTGCTTAGGAAAAAAAAATAAAGATACTAACTACCTATATGAAATGGTGTTTAAGTGATTCTTGAAGTCCTTTTAAATGTAATTACACGAACAATAATAATTTAAGAGATCATTATTTACCATAAAAAATGGTTACATTTTATAGTTTTGCTTGGAGCTTCAGCCCGAAATCCCTCCTCTCCCTCTTTGCTGAGTTCCAACAAAATAAAAGTTAAAAATTATTTGTGATTTTTAAACAATTTTACTGTACTACAGTTCTGCCACTTTCAGAAAAACTTCCTCCTTTCATAAGCTTTCAATCCATATTAATTAAGTTGAGATTTATTAGGCAAAATGTTGATAACCTAAATTACTCGTGTTTTCTGCAAAAATTACTACAAATAACTGTTACAAAAAAATGTATTTATTGTTTTTCCGTGATATGAGATGTATTGTTGTTACAAATATAATTACCTAAAAACACATTTTAATTATAAATATTGATTCCGAAACATTGACTGCTACTTACGCTGACGATGCAACAATTTTAACAAAACACCAGTAACCCAGACTAGCCTCATTAAATTTACAAAATCACTTACTAAAGTTACAAAATTGGTATTCACTTTTTAAAATTAGATTAAATCATGACAAATCACAACATATAACATTTACACTTCGACGAGACACACGGCCACCAGTTTATATCGGCGAAAACCAAATTCCTCAGACGGACACAGTACGTTATCTCGGGCTATTGTTCGAAAGAAGGATGGCCTGGGGTCCACATTTCAAAATGAAACAACAAATTATTTTGAACAAATGACTGTAAATAATATAACCCTTTTTTCCAAATCAATATTAAAAATCAGTCAAAAACTAAATACGTATACTTACCTACTCAAACCTATATGGACATACGCCTGCAAAAAAGAGGCACTTACAAAAACTACAATCATTTCAATCCAAAACTTTAAGACTAATAACAGCAGCTCCCTGGTACATAAACAACGATACTTTACATACTGACTTACAACAACCAACTATCAACCAACACATACGTACTCTCTCTTCCCGATTTCATCTTAAACTACACAGACATCACAACGGACTTATCAACGACATGGCCACAGCTCACATGCCCATCAGGGGACGACTAAAGAGGAGCTGGATGAGAGATCTCCTTTCCTAAATTATGAAGTAGACCAAAACCAGGAAGAGGTACTGCTGGGCACTAATCTTCCTCATGCCTTAAATGACAATTTTCTTCACAATGAGATCACACCTGATTATTGTCAATACCACGATAGGTGTGAATAGAAGTATGAAGAGAGAAAAAAAAAATTATAAATACTAAAAATTTAAAAATAATGATTCTTAAATATTTGTTTCGCGTAAAGTGGTAATGAAACTTTGTTGTTGTTCCTTCAGATCTCCATCAAAAGCATTGGTGTGTATTTATAAGTGACAAAAGTAATCTTTCTAACTAAAATTTACGTTTAAAGGAAAGAAAACTTCAGATTACTTTAATTATTTTTATGAAAACGTATATATTAGGGCTAGAATCATTAATTTTGTTACTTAATGACGCACATAAATACGCATCAATTCTTATGACAGAAATTTGAGAGAAAAACACAATTACATTACCACCTTACATAAAAAATATTTTTAAAATCATCATTTTTAAATTTTCTATATTTATAAATAAAATGTGTTCATAAGCAACTATAGTTATCACAACAGATCCCGTATCATGGAAAAGCAATAAATAAACGCTTTGCAACTGTGATAGAAAACCACATGATTTCTTTACACAACTTGAGATGAACGTTTATTTTGCCTTTTAAAACTCCAACTTAATTAATATGGACTTCGAGCTTATTAAACGAAGTTTTTCTAAAAGTGGGGTATCTTTAGTATAGTTTTAGAGCGATAAAGAAAAAATTGCAAATAATTTATGATTTTTTTTTTAAACTGAAACTGATTAGTTCAGTCGTTAAATAGTCCTCTTTGATTGGTTTGAACAATGACAAAGTCTACATTTATTTAAGTAAATTGTACCTTGTTTACTGTAAAACAATTGTCAATTACTTAAATAAAATAATTTTGTAGTTATCGTTTTCTATTCAACAAAAAATAAGACTTACTTTAAAAAATTCAAAACTTGAATCGCACTTTTCTGATAAAAATTGACCCATTTATATGAACTTTTTTGTAAGTCTTGAGGTCTGCTCTCACTATATATATATATTTAATATATTTTATTCGTTACTTATCCTTGACGGATTTAATCTGAACTTACCCCTGACGTGACTGTCAATAATGCAAGAAGCAAAAGTGAGAACTTCATCATATCTTCAATCATTTGACCGTTCCGATGATGATTACAATTGTCTGAAAAATATATTATATGTATAAGTTATATTATAACAAAAAATATTTAATAATATTTTATATAGAAAATTACTTCCATCTATTAGCATTTAAATTAAAAAATAATATAGCAGTTTTTAAATTTAGATGTTATGCTCGTTATTAAAAATCAGATCGTTGCTTTAGCCGGAACATGTCGTGGAATATCAATATCAATACATTAATATCATAATAATATAAAAAATAATACATGATAATAGTAATACAATCAGTGTATAATAAAAAATCTTGCACGCGTTCGATTTATTTGTTTAATTATTTGAAATAATTATGTTGATTATTTTTCCAGATTTTTACTTTCCCTTACGTATATATGTAATATATAGTAAGGGTAAGTATTGCGATCGTGAAAATATTTGAATCTCAGTTTTCAACGGAAATACATGTTTTGAGGTCAAATTTGAGTCCAAATAACCAAGTGTCGCAAAATGGTCTGTGTGTATGTGTTAACAGTCTAGCTCATAAACGAAAAGTAGTACGAAACTGATTAAGTATTTAAGATTTGTAAATGGGCCGGATGTGATAGCAACTTTTTTGTTAATATCGGTTAACTGGAAGTGCCACTTTACATGAACGCTGAAACACATTTTTACAATTTTCTCAAAAACGGCTCTAACGATTTTGATTAAACTCGGTGGTATCATTGTATAATTAAGTGGTCTTTAATATCATTTAAGTCTTATTCCCGTTGATGTCACTTTAAGGGCTAAAATGAACAATGTTCATATATGTCTTCCTATGAAGTAATTTTAATATGGATTATTTTAAAAAGTTAATCATTTCGCATTATTCAGAGTTATAAAAAAATAATACATATAATATTTGAAAGAATTTGATAAGTTAATAAAGGAGAAAAAAAATAAAAATGCAGAAAAACCTGCGTTGCTATAGACTGTAGTGCCTTTTTTTTTTTTTTCATCTATCTGTTTATTGAGTAATAATACATTTTGCCACACTTAAGGGCACTGAGTATTAAGGCTGAGAGAGGCACATTCATACCATATATACAATACATAAAAAAAATAATAAATAATAATAAATAATATAAATAAATCTATATAACAAAGGCAAAAACTATAATAAACTAGGAAATGTAACTAAGAGTTAAAATTAAATGAAATACAGAAATTCGTAGCAAAATTAAATAAATTATAAGTAATAGAAATAAATAGAAAAACATTCATACTTAAATACAATATTTACAATTAGGTAAGAGATCTCCGAGTCCAGCCCTTTCCCCCACGTGTGAAGGACAAAGCGAGACCTAAGAGATCCCAGCGCTTCTCTCTCAACCGCATCGCCGGCATTACCAGTCCGGTGGAGACTGAGAGAGGGCACTAAAACCACAAACACTCATGACTTGAGTGGAGAAGCTGGCCATTGCCAGAACTCCAGTGACGTCTTTACAAGAGATCTCGAGGCCACTGCCGTTTCAACCTTCGAGGAGGGTTGTAGGATGACTGGAGCTAGATAAGGATTGTGCTAAAGGGTTAGGATGGTGGATTAGGTTCATGTGAAAATTTGAGAATCGGGATGGAATAACGTCAAGGATATAAGGGATGTAAAGGTCATGATGTAGGGTTTTGTTTGTAACGTAATAAGGAGCATTGACTATCATACGGAGGACTTTAGACTGAAAGGATTGGATGCGTTTGATGTTCGAAAATTTAGTTGTCCCCCACAGTTCAAGTCCGTAGGTCCAGATGGGTTTGAGTATGGTCTTGTATATTAATAGTTTGTTTTCTATTGATAGATTGGATTTTCTGTTAAGTAGTCTGTATAGCTGGCCAAATCGTCGGTTAAGTTCTTGTCTTTTAAGTCTAGTATGTGGGTTCCAAGTTAGTCTTTTGTCTAAAAGGAATCCAAGATACCGAACTGTGTCTGAGACGGGGAGAGTTACAGAGTTGAAAATGATATGTGGACAGGATCTGCGTCGGAGGGTAAAGGTGACATGCTTGCATTTGATCTTAATGCGCCAATTGTTGCACCATTGCTCAATCAGGGAGATGTGTCTTTGTAGATTTAAGGATGCAGTTTCAGGATCTAGATGGGATGACAGGATGGCGGTATCGTCCGCGAAAGTTGCTAGAAGGGTATCGGGATTGGTTGGAATGTCAGCGGTGAAGAGGATGAAGAGGACTGGGCCCAAGACACTGCCTTGTGGAACACCAGCCTCAATTGGATAATAGTTGGAGAATTCAGGATATAGACTGTAGCGCCTAAAGGAATGTGTCGATTTCAATGAAACTTCGCGAAAGTAATTTTCTCGGGACCCTTTGAATTTACCTATATAAGATACTTCAACGAAAAGAACTCGGAAAAAGTTAAGAGGGATGGTTAAATTAAATTCCGAATAACTCAAAAAGTATACGGGATATTGTTATGGTTTTTTAAATGTTTATGCAATTTTCTAAAAAAACAGAAAAAAAAATCGTTAAAATCAGACAATTAGAGGAAAGATATGGCCTCTATTAGTTTAAAAAAAAAAAACTAAAAAAAAAACTACAAGTTTTTTTCTCTGAAGAGGCGAAAATTTGGATAAATTTAAAATATACTTTTTTAATTGTTGAGACTAAAAAAATCTTTTTTTCTACAGATATTTAATAAAGTATCTTTCCTACGAACATCTTTCATAAGAAATAAGTACCTAAATTTATATCTTTATTCTCAGTTCTATATTTCAACACTGCAATCACCACCACTGGAATCAAGTTACTCATTGTCTACATAGATAAATTTTTCATCTAAAAATATCACTAAAATGACATAACTCAAAAATGTTGAAATTGGAGTTAGTCATTCTGTGGCTTATAAAAGCAAATGGAGTGACTAGATTTTTATTTCCTGTCGTTGATGTATTAAATAGATATTTTTTAATTATAATGGTCTTAATAAATTGTTATCTGTAAGCTTTAAGCTTTAGATCCGTTTAAAATGCATTTCAAAAAATTTTATAATAGCCCAGCATTGCCAGAAAATAATTTCTATTCAAAGTAGATCGGTAAGTGAAAGTTGTGTGTTGCGCGCACTAGATTTTTTACATAGTAATATCGAAGGATAGATTTCATTTTTTTTTTTAATAAACCATTTCATAGACTATAAATATAATTGTAATTAACAGTTTTAATTTGTAAGCTTATCCTACATTGTAGCATTTTATTGAAATCATATATGTATATATATATATATATATATATATATATATATATATATATATATATATATATATATATATATATATATATATATATATATATATACCTAATTTAATTTTATATTTTTTAAAATTATAATTTCAGAATTTAAGTAATTTACACTATTTATAGTAGGGTAGTATAGATTTATTTTCCGGCTTACACAAGCGATGGATTTTAAGTTATGTATGAGCAGAAAGGAAATTTCATGGAGAAGTGATTCAATTTCGTTCCTTAAATTCCTATTACAAACTTAAATACAAAATTTTCAAAAGTCTGACATTGTTAAGTTGATGATCGAGGTGAGATGAATTGCGTTTTGAGATTTCGAAGCGATCATCAAGACCCAATAAGGTTCCTTCAGGTTCTGCGTTTTAAAACCCAAAGATTTGCTCTTTTTGGCTAGTACCAAAAACTCAACATCAGTAAAAAAAGTTCCTAGGTGCCAAAATTTCCATGAATATACTTACTACGTTTTGTTTAGATACATTCATCGAAAAATTAGGTATTCTTTTTTCTAAAATTCCCCACTTTCCAACAATATATTATACATATACGTTATGACTAGTCTTTCTAGATATTCATGTTTGATCTAAATGAAAATTTTCCCATTTTTCTCCAGTTTCCAATTATCAAATACTTTCAAACTTTATATTCAGCCATTTTTCATAATTACGGTCAATAACAGAGAGTTAATTGTTTTATATAAATCGAATTAAAGGTACTTCAGAGGAAGACGTATTTCAACATTGGTCATTTAAGCCACGTAAAATGACATCAGTGTGGATAAGACATCAGAACACATAAACATAGAAAAGACATAAACCTCGACATCAGATCACCATAGATACAAAATGGTTATGCTAGATCTTATACAGCTTAAAACTATCTAACATTTTTGTGAATAATATTTATTTCTAAACCCAAAAGGAAACGAACTGTCGAGCTTTCAAAATTTGCCAACTTCGATTTCAAGTGTTCAGTGCTCTTTCAGTTATGGATGGAAGAAATCTATAACTCCATTTTGAAGCTCCTTCAGAGAATTTGGAGATTTTCATTGAAGATAATAAACCTTTGACTGGAATGGTAGACGGTAGTCATAAGGTGTTTTGAAAAGTATGTTACACGGTGGGCCAGACTCCCCTCCACATCGCAATAAATTGCATGTAGTTATATTTAATGTAACTATTTATTTAAAAAAAGCAATGTTCTCACAATGAAGTAACTGCACTGTTCCAAAATGGCGTTAAAACATAGCAGATTGAGGTCTTCGACTTGAGTTATTTTTTCGGTCATTGCGATTTTGTATTTGGCTTAATTTCGCAACAATTGGCCTTTCATCAGAGCTAGATAGTTAAGGAAGCTTAGAACATAATTGGCCTTAGCAATAAAACACACCAGTAAAGTCATGTTTTTCAAGTCGTTAAAACTAAGGTTTTTTTTTTTTTTTTTAATGACATTTACAACTGTATTACATAAATACATCAAGTAAATTTGGACATAATAGATATAATGACATGAATACACTTGTTGAGTAACTACCCAAAAGTAGCATTCTAATGATATGACTACATAAGGAGATCACGGGGCCATCTTCTTTACAGACGCCTCGGAGGGTTATCAGGAATTGAAGAGGAAGCAAGGTTAGAAACGAGAGGGTTGGGATGATTCTGAAGTTTATTATGGAAGGATAGGTATCTGGATTGGGCCAGATCTGAAACATAAGGAATATTAAGATCTGTGTGGAAAATTTTATTAGTGACAAAG